CCAAGAGGGGTCAGCCAGTCTGACCGGGACAGGTGCAGGGAGAGGAGTGAGAGTGGTGCTGTCACGAAAGAAACAGCGCGAGGCGCTGGAGTCCAACGTGAAGGTGTGCAAGGCCTCAGCAGGCGCAGTACCAGGGGGAGTACCAGACGCACTAGCACATAGAGCAGCAGCCGGTATACCTGGGTCAGGTGGCACACACCGGTAACAGTCACCCTCAGCACTAAAAGACAAAGCATACATGGCAGAGATAATAGCATCATAGTCTAGGTCAAAGATAGCAACTCCCGACCTAAGCAAATCAGTCCAGCGAGGGCGCTCGACGTCGTCACCAAACTCAGCACGCCAGGCGTCGTCAAGGCGGGAGAAGCAGCGGTGCTCAGTGTGAAACTTTCCGCATGTCTGGCCCGCACGGACACCCGTGCGAATGACATACGGGCAGGTCTCACTACCCCCACCCGTCCCATGCTGAACCAACCACTCACGGAGCTGCTGGGGCGACTGGGTCTCGCTCCGATGCTGCTGCTGCTGTCACTGGCCACCACCAGGGCCTCCACGCCGAGGTCCAGACCTGCCACCACCAGTCCCACCGCCTCTACTGCCGCCACTCCCTCCGCTGCCTCCACCGCCGCCACCAGAGCCCCCACTGCCGCCACTGGTCCCACCGCCGCCCCTACCACTGCTCCCACTGCCACCTCCACCACCACCGCTGCCACCTCCACCACCCCGGCCACCCTTGCCCTTGCTGCTGCGGCGCTTTGCACTAGTCGAAGCAGCATCGACGTCCTCAGGAACAGAGACGTCTGCAGCAGCAGCAGAGGCAAAGGAGGGAGAAAGGGGAGAGGGGGAGCACCCCTCAAAGAAGGGCGGGTGCGGAGTGCCACGAGCAGCACCTACAGCAACTGCACTAGTCTCAGCTGCGAGGAGATGCTGCTCGAGGAGGTCAACAGCGAGGGAGGTGGGGTCAAGGGAGAGAAAGTGGTCCCTGACAGAGCAAAGAGAGTCAGGGAGGCGAGAGACTATGAAGTAGAGGGTGATGAACATGGGGGGCTGGTTCGTGGCAAGGAACTCAGCAGGGACGGTGGCGCGGTAGCGAGCGTCGCTAGTGCGCAGGTGGGTAACTAGGTCCGCTACGGTGCCAAACGCCGACAGCTCAGGGAACAGGTAGGGCAGTAGCAGTCTGCCTAGAGCAGCAGTGGCAGGGGAGGAGTAGCGAGCAACGACAGCGTCGTACAGGGCCTGTGCTGTCCTGTGCTGTCCAAAGTGGGTACATTCGGCCATCGGCAGGGTGTTGCAAATGGCTAAGCGGGCAGTAGCGTCTCGAGAAAGCCATTGGGAACAAGTCGAACCGTCAGCTGTGGCGGGAGTGGCTGGAGGGACACCGGACACGTGGTCAAACAGCGAGACACTGTCCTTAGTATCGCTCAGTAGGTACAGTTGCAGATCGTCGTGCCACGTGTCAAATGCAACCGGTCTGCCCTCGTGATCGAACGCTAGGACTCGAAGCGAAGCCATAGTGGCGCAGTACTCAGGAGCAGCAGTAGCAGGAGCAGCAGTAGCAGCAGTAATCAAGGGGCCAAGGGGCGGGGCCGAGGGGCCTAGGGTCCTGGGGGCCAAGGGGCCAAGGGGCCAAGGGGCCGAGGGGCCGAGGCTAGGGGCCGAGGGGCCTAGGGGCCGAGGGGCCAAACACGAGGGCCTAGGGGCCTAGGGGCCGAGGGGCCAAAGGTCCTAGGGGCCGAGGGGCCAAGGGGACTAGGGGCCGAGGGGCCAAGGGGTGGAGCCGAGGGGCCAAACACGAGGCCAAGGGGCCGAGGGGCCGAGGCTAGGGGCCGAGGGGCCAAACACGAGGGTGAGGGCCAAGGGGCCAAGGGGCCGAGGTGCCGAGGTGCCTGGGGGCCAAGGGGCCAAGGGTCCAAGGGGCCAAGGGGCCGAGGGGCTGAGGCTAGGGGCCGAGGGGCCGAGGGGCCAAACACAAGGGTGGCGGGGCCGAAGGGGCCAAGGAGCCGAGGGGCCGAGGCTAGGGGCCGAGGGGCCTAGGGGCCGAGGGGCCAAACACGAGGTGAAGGGGCCGAGGGGCCGAGCCTAGGGGCCAAGCCTAGGGGCCGAGGCTAGGGGCCGAGGGGCCAAACACGAGGGTGAGGGCCAAGGGGCCAAGGGGCCGAGGTGCCTAGGTGCCTGGGGGCCAAGGGGCCAAGGGGCCAAGGGGCCGAGGGGCCGAGGCTAGGGGCCGAGGGGCCGAGGGGCCGAGGGGCCAAACACAAGGGTGGCGGGGCCGAGGGCCAAGGAGTCGAGGGGCCGAGGCTAGAGGCCGAGGGGCTTAGGGGCCGAGGGGCCAAACACGAGGGCCTAGGGGCCGAGGGGCCGAGGGGACTAGGGGCCGAGGGGCCAAGGGGCGGGGAAGGGGGGGCGCGGCTAGGGGCGACGGGGCCAACTGGGCCGAGAGGCGCGGCTAGGGGCGACGGGGCCAACGGGACCGAAGGGGCGCGGCTAGGGGCGACGGGGCCGACGGGGCCTAGGGGCGCGACTAGGGGCAACGGGGCCAACGGGGCCGAGTGGCGCGGCTAGGGGCGACGGGGCCAACGGGGCCGAAGGGGCGCGGCTAGGGGCGACGGGGCCAACGGGGCCTTGGGGCGCGGCTAGGGGCGACAAGGCCAACGGGGCCTTGGGGCGCGGCTAGGGGCGACGGGGCCAACGGGGCCGAGTGACGCGACTAGGGGCGATGGGGCCAACGTGGCCGAAGGGGGCGCGGCTAGGGGCGACGGGGCCAATGGGGCCGAGTGGCGCGGCTAGGGGCGACTGGGTCGACGGGGCCAACGGGGCCTTGGGGCGCGGCTAGGGGCGACGGGGCCAACGGGGCCGAAGGGGCGCAGCTAGGGGCGACGGGGCCAACGGGGCCTTGGAGCGCGGTTAGGGGCGACGGGGTCGACGGGGCCAATGGGGCCGAGTGGCGCGGCTAGGGGCGACGGGGCCAACGGGGCCGAAGGGGCGCGGCTAGGGGCGACGGGGCCAGTGGGGCCGAGGGGCGCGGGTAGGGGCGACGGGGCCAACAGGGCCAACGGGGCCGAGGGGGGGGGGGGGGGGGGGGAGGGGGGGCGCAGCTAGGGGCGACGGGGCCAACGGGGCCGAAGGGGGGGCGCGGCTAGGGGCGACGGGGCCAACTGGGCCGAGAGGCGCGGCTAGGGGCGACGGGGCCAACGGGGCCGAAGGGGTGCGGCTAGGGGCGACAGGGCCAACGGGGCCTAGGGGCGCGGCTAGGGGTGACGGGGCCAACGGGGCCTTGGGGCGCGGCTAGGGGCGACAAGGCCAACGGGGCCTAGGGGCGCGGCTAGGGGCGACGGGGCCAACGGGGCCTAGGGGCGCGGCTAGGGGCGACGGGGCCAACGGGGCCTTGGGGCGCGGCTAGGGGCGACAAGGCCAACGGGGCCTTGGGGCGTGGCTAGGGGCGACGGGGCCAACGGGGCCTAGGGGCGCGGCTAGGGGCGACGGGGCCAACGGGGCCGAGTGGCGCGACTAGGGGCGAAGGGGCCAACGGGGCCGAAGGGGGCGCGGCTAGGGGCGACGGGGCCAACGGGGCCTTGGGGCGTGGCTAGGGACGACGAGGCCAACGGGGTTGAAGGGGCGCGGCTAGGGGCGACGGGGCCAGCGGGGCCTTGGGGCGCGACTAGGGGGGATACTAGCTGAGTAGGAGGTGGTGGGCCCAAGAAACCTGCTCTGATACCATGTCGAAGTTACAAGTAGAATGTCGAGAGAAATACTGTACCCCTTAAGGCTAAACCCACTACAGCCTAGAGAAATATAAACACATATGTTTTGACAATAGCCTCACCTAGATACATAGTAGAGGCTATTGGTACAAAGAAACGAGAGTTAAAATAAGGGACGCAACTCTAAACTGCTGATTGTGTGTTGGCTGCCTGCCCTTGAACTTTTTTGGTCCGTCATGCGCACGGACGCTCGTCTACCTGTCCAAATCAGTTGCGAATGGTCTCAAGCCTGGAAAGCTGTCAGAATGTATTTGCTGTTTAGCCTGCAGTGGGGTACTCTGTAGTGAGTACAACCCAATTTAGGGTTTGCTATTTGTATCCCAACTTTCCATAGTGAAACCACTCATTCTTCCTTCTCGACTTTCCTCACCCAAAATTCCCTCGACACTCATGCCCTGAAACCAAGCCATGTTTCCTAAGTCAAGCTACTATTCTAACATGGTATTAAGAGCAATAGTTCCTAGGACCTCACATTAATGGGCCCACCACCTAATGCCCTGCTAGCCTAGGCCCCGGCCCGTTGCCCCTTGGCGTCGCCCCTAGCCCCTAGGCTCGGCCCCTTGGCCCCGTTGCCCCTACCTGTGCCCCTCGGCCCTGCTGGCCCTGTCGACTACGTCGCCCCGCGCCCGGCCCGTACTTAGCCCGCGATCGGCCCGTACCTAGCCCGCGCTCGGCCCCGTTCCTAGCCCCGCGCCCGGCCCGTACCTCGCCCGGGCCTGGCCCCGTACCTAGCCCGCGATCGGCCCGTACCAAGCCCGCGCCTGGCCCCGTCCTTCGCCCAGCGCCCAGCCCGTACCTAACCCGCGCCCGGCCCGTACTTAGCCCGCGACCGGCCCGTACCTAGCCCGTCGCCCGGCCTCGTCCCTAGCCCAGCGCCCGGCCCAGTACCTAGCCCGCGCCCGGCCCCGTACCTAGCCCGCGCCCGGCCCCGTACCTGCCCAGCGCCCGGCCACGTACCTGCCCAGCGCTCGGCCCCGTCCCTTGCCCAGCGCCCGGCCCCGTACCTAGCCTCGCGCCCGGCCTCCGTTCCGCGCCCAACGACCGGCCCCGTACCTAGCCCGCGCCCGGCCCAGTACCTAGCCCGTGCCCGACCCCGTACCTAGCCCGCGCCCGGCCCAGTACCTAGCCCGCGCCCGGCCCCGTACCTAGCCCCGCGCCCGGCCCCATTCCGCGCCCAACACCCGGCCCCGTACCTGCCCAGCGCCCGGCCCCGTACCTGCCCAGCACCCGGCCCCGTCCCTAGCCCAGCGCCCTGGCCTCGTCGCCCCTAGCTATGGCAAGAGGGGTGATGACTTCCTGCCCGTGCCCTGCAGTCACACGCGCAGCTCCGCCCCCGCCCCCCTCCCCCCCCTCCCCCTCCTCCATGGGGACGGGGGGGAGAGGGTGTGAGGGGGTGGCAGATGTGCCTCAGCAGCAGCAGCTGCCGCCACGCCTCCTTCTCTATCTCTCCCTGCCGCACCTTGTGTTGGGAGAGGGGGGGGAGCTTGGAGGTTCAGAGGGAGGCAGGAGGGGATCTGCAGCACCAGCCCCCCCCCGCCCCCCCCCTTTCTCCTCCACCCCTGCTGCGGGTGCAGCAGTGGGGGGGAGGGGATCTGCAGCAGCAGTGGGGGGAGGGAATTTGCAGCATCAGCCCCCCCCCCCCCGCCCTTTTCTCCACTCTCTCTCCCTGCCGCACCCTGTGTTGGGAGGGGGGGGGAGCTTGGAGGTTCAGGGGGAGGCAGGAGGGGATCTGCAGCACCAGCCCCCCCCGCCCCCCCCCTTTTCTCCTCCACCCCTGCTGCGGGTGCAGCAGTGGGGGGGAGGGGATCTGCAGCAGCAGTGGGGGGAGGGGATTTGCAGCATCAGCCCCCCCCCCGCCCCCCCCCCCCCCGCCCTTTTCTCCTCTCTCTCTCCCTGCCGCACCCTGTGTTGGGAAGGGGGGGGAGCTTGGAGGTTCAGGGGGAGGCAGGAGGGGATCTGCAGCACCAGCCCCCCCCAGCCCACCCCAGCCCCCCCCCCCCCCACTTCTCCTCCATCCCCCTGCTGCGGGTGCAGCAGTGGGGGGGAGGGGATCTGCAGCAGCAGTGGGGGAAGGGGATCTGCAGCAGCAGTGGGGGGGAGGGGATCTGCAGCAGCAGTGGGGGGGAGGGGAGTTGCAGCATCAGCCCCCCTCCCCCCCCCCCCCCAGCCCCCCCCCCCCACTTCTCCTCCATCCCCCTACTGCAGGTGCAGTGGTGGGGGGGAGGGGATCTGCAACCCTGCGCGCCCTGCTGTCCTGCTGCCCTGCTTGCCCTGCGCGCACTGCAGCCCTGCGCGCCCCGCGCGCCCTGCTGCCCTGTAGCCCTGTGCGCCCTGCTGCCCTGCAGCCCTGTGCGCCCTGCTGCCCTGCTGCTGCCGCTACAGCCCTTGCTGTTGCCGCTACAGCCCTTGCTGCTGCCCTGTGCGCCCCGCGCGCCCTGCAGCCCTGCTGCGCCCCGCGCGCCCTGCTGCCCTGCTGCCCTGTGCGCCCTACTGCCCTGTGCGCCCCGTGCGCCCTGCTGCCCTCTGCGCGCGCCATGGACAGCCCCCCCCCCCCCCCCCCCCCCCCTTTCTCCTCCATCTCCTGCTGCAGGTGCAGCAGTGGGGGGAGGGTATGGGGGTGGCGGGTGTGTGAACCGTCCCCTGCTCCTCCTCCTCCTCCGTCTCCCACTGCTGCAGCTGCCGCTGAGGGGGGTGGGTGTGTGGGAGCCGAGGGAGTGGTGCTAGGGGGGTGACGTAGGAGTGGAGCTAGGGGTGCAGCAAGGGGTGTGTGTAAGGGGGGTGGGACAGTTGGGGGAGGTTGAGCGGAGGCTGCCGTCTTGTAGTCCGCAGCACCTGTAGTCCGGGGCTCTGCTTCTGGTAGCTCAGAGAGCCTGCTGCGCCTGTCGCCTGTGGGTCCGTTGCTCCTGCCGCTCAGAGTTAGCCGCAGAGCCAGTTACTCATGTAGTCCGGGGATACGGCCCCGGTAGCCACAGTGCGCGCCGCTCCTGTTGCCCGTGTGTCTGCAGCATCAGCCGTCGCCTCCTATCTCCTCTCCTCTCACAGTCCAGCCTCCTCCTCCTCACTTGCCCTTTGTGAATGCCTCTAGCTTTGCTTGTACTTGTGAACCTGCTCTATGAATGCTTGCTCTGCTGATTATACCCCACTTTGACTATGGGGGTGTGTCAGAATGTATTTGCTGTTTAGCCTGCAGTGGGGTACTCTGTAGTGAGTACAACCCAATTTAGGGTTTGCTATTTGTATCCCAACTTTCCATAGTGAAACCACTCATTCTTCCTTCTCGACTTTCCTCACCCAAAATTCCCTCAACACTCGTGCCCTGAACCCAAGCCATGGTTCCTAAGTCAAGCTACTATTATAACAATAGCCTCACCTAGATACATATTGGAGGCTATTGGTACAAAGAAATGAGAGTAAAAATAATAGGCGGGGCACTAAACTACTGATAGTATCACGACTGGCTATTCTTGAACAAATTTGACTCGTTCTGCGCACGAACGCTTCTCAACCCTATCAAAACCAGCTGCTAACAGGGTATCAATTCCGGGTAGCCTTACCTAGATACATAGCAGAGGGTATTGGTATGAAGAAATGGGTGGTAAATGTCAAAATGTTATAGTGCTTACATTATGTATGCTGTAGTGGGGTAGCCCATAAGGGGTACAACCCAATTAGGGTTAGTACTTGTACCCAACTCATTCATAGTTCATTCATTCTCGTTCAGTATTTTGAGAGTAAAGTATTAGGCGGGGCACTAAACTGCTGATAGTGACACGACTGCGTATCCTTGAACAGATTTGACCCTTTCGGCGTACGGACGCTTGTCTACCTATTCAAATCAGCTCGAATAATCTTAGAACCTGACTGCCTCATCTAGATACATAGGAGACGCTACTGGTACAAAGAAAAGAGGCGGGGCAATAAACTGCTGATGGTGATACGACAAGATATCCTTGAACATATTTGCCCCGTTCTATGCACCAACGCTTGATATCATGCAATGATCGGCAATCACGGGACGTGGTGCCTGTTTAACGCTAATTTGTTTGGGTTATTTTGACGGCTCAAACATTTGCCATATTGCTAGCATACCATTAATAATTTTCGTCTTAGTGAATACATGTTACACATATTGAGCTATATTGCAATAGAATATAAATATATACTTCAAATCTCACACATACTCTTGGTAACACAAAGATTTTGCATGCTAATGAAGTACATGGATAGACAGTAAACCCAGCAAATTATGTCTCACATGGTGGAAAATGTTGAAGTTGGGAATTTATAAGAGTTTCACACTGAAAGATTCACCATAATGTACTCACACATTTATTACAATTACGAAAAGCCAACACAGCAGATCCTATCGATACCTAGAGCCAATGGGACACATGTGCACAGTTCCTACAGAGTTCCCGAGGCTGATATTTGGTGCCGAACCTGCAAACATAGCCTCTCAACCAGTGGGGCGATTCCCGAGGCTGACAAACCACATGCCCAAGCAACTTCGAGAATTCCGAAGCTACTTGCCTTGTTTTCGTTTCGACGCGACGCGTCGAAAGCATCTTTCCCAGGAAAAATCAACCTACCTAAGCCATACTTTCACGAACCCTAATTTTCGGGAGCCCCCATTTTTGGGATGCTACCCTAAACGTGGGTTTCAGGGTGGGAGAATGGTAGGTCCTAATGGATGGCAATGCTGTGCGTGACTAAGGGCGTGTCTCTTTTTTGCTCCCAACGGTTCGAACCGTGGACCGTCCGATTTGCGAACATGTTACCCGTTTCGCCATTTGTCGTGACTGTTTCGTGAAGGTATTGGCGACGTCGCCAACGGTTTGACCTGTCGCGTCACTTTTCCCTCCAAGCAACGGTTCACATTCTGAACCTTTGGCAGTTCGAATTGCAAACGGATGGATGCACAGTTCTGACACTGGATTGGCGCGCGAACTACTCAAAAAACAAAAACCGAGCCGCATGGTCAATTTATTTGTGGCCCGCGACGCGCGCCTGAACATTGAACGATCGCATCACCCCCTAGCCCACCAACACTACAAAGCCCCCAGCAATCCGAACTGAACCCACACAATCAGCCTGCAATGGAGCACTCTAGCGCAGGTGACAACTCTGAACCGGCCAACACCACCCCGAACACCTCTAGTCCAAGTCCCCCTACTGAACACCCGCTTGCTCCAGATCTGCCAGAGACAGACGAGTCCCAGATCCCTGCTCAGACTCTCGCCAACACTCAGCTCTCCACCGCAACCACTGTCACTCCAGCTGACTGGTGGTTCTACCATATCCCTTCTCCCACAGCCTCCTACGACGCCGACGACGATTACGGTCTTGGTGCTGACATGGACAATGCCGCAACTCTCAGCGAGGTAGAGGAGGAGAAAACGAAGCAGGAGACAGCCCCGACCGTTGAAACTACAGCTCCTTCACGCCGATCTACAGGCAGGACTCTCCCTCGCTGGACCCCCGAAGAAGAATGCGAGGTCCTAGCCGCGTTCATCACCCGGCAGGCACAGATCCGGGCGCGCACTGGGCAGCAAGGCCGCAGTTGGTACCCGTTAATCCAGCAAGAGCTTTTGGAGCAGAATCCCTCTTGGCGTCACGATGTATCCGCGCTCAAGGCGAAATACAATCGCATGAAGGAGCAGTGGCGCAAGATCAACGATCGCATCAAGCACTCCGGGGCGGGACGCGCAACTGGTCTCCCTGCTTGGTATCACCTCGGCGAGACTTTATGGGGTGAGCGCCCGAGTACAATCCCCCCATGTGCTTGCAGGCACTGGGTTAAATGGTCGCGGCGGTAGAGGGCGTACGGTTCGCACCAGCACCACTGCGACGCCTACAGCGACGCCTCCCACCACCACCTCTGTGCGTTGTCCGGCACCAGTCATGGCGATTCCCTCGTCTGTTACATCGACGACTGCGGCGATCGCCGTTTCCGCACCTCCGACAAACCCGCTCCCTCTGCCAGCAACGTTCCTGCCAATTGCAGAAACCGAGACAACTACCACTGCTGCTGATACATCCGCTCCCACTAACGGTCCGATGTCGACCGCAACGATAAATCCCTCCACCCCCTCTTGCGCTCCGGCCCCCGCTGGAGACACCCCTTCCCGCCGCGGGACTGTCTCTCCCTTGTCGCCAGACACGATCCCGCTCGCGTCTCCGACATCCGCTCAGCCCGATTCAGGTGCGACGAGGGGTGTCTCGATCCGCAGTCGTCGCCAAATCTGGGGAGCGCACCCGGCGTCTGATGGGAAAGAGGGGTGCAGCCGCAACGCGTGGTATCAGTATCCACGCCAGCAGACCGAAGGTAATGACGGCCAGGAGGGTAAAGGAGGTAAAAAGGGCATCGGACGCAAGTCCGCAAGGAGGGTGAAATCCGCGAGCACGGCAGAACTGGTGCGCGAGCTGCGTGACCACAATGATAAGCGCCAGGATGAGAAGTGGAACAAGTTCGAGGCTCTTACCCGTGAGGTGCTTCGTGGCTTCGCGGATGAGCGACGCAGTAGGAGGCGTAGATTGCTGCAGTCCACCTCCTCATCCGAAGACGAGGCGTGAACCCGCGACTCGAGGTTGCATGTGCGACTCGATGCATTGCAGTTCATATAAATTTGTTTGCTTTGTATTGCATGGCATATACTGAAATCGAGAATCACTCTGTATGTGATACATTCGACTACAAAATCCAGAGAGTTCCTCTCCTTGATTCCAAGAGCACTACCTAACACATAAACGCCTATATCTCGCTCTATACGTATGCGATCGGGGTGATCTACGGCCCGTTGGAAAGCTAAGACAGAGCTCTACTGATTATTACAAATCCCAGTTCCTGCAAAGTAGAGGAGAATCCTCTACAACAGTGGTATCTGAGCTGGTCGGAGGAGTCTACGCGCGCAACAAGAAGCTAGCATGCCGACGGCAAGCGAGGCCTCCCGCACTTCCTTGGATGGTGTCGTTGTAAATTCTGGCAAACCCTGGGCAACTGCGACGATGTTCGACACGTCGGCGGTACCGATTTTCACGGGACAAAACTACTCCGCGTGGAAGTTTAAGTTCCAAGTGCTCATGATGGAGCGGGGACTTTGGGGCTTCTTCGATGGAACGGAGAAGAATCCGGACAACGAGAGCGACATCGCGGCATGGAAGAAGAAGGACCAAAAGGCATTCGCTACGTTGATTTCGCGCATCGGCATCAATCTTGTGAGCTCGGTGCGCATGTGCATCAAGCTCGAAGCGTCGGCGCATGAAGCGTGGAAGCGGCTCGAGACGATGCACGTGAACAAGACTCTCCATGGCAAGATCCTAGCCCGGAATGCATTCTACACGGTGAAGATGCGCGCGGGCGAATCGATGCTCGAGTATGCGACTCGTGTGGAGGAACTTGGGGAAACGTTCATGGACCTCGGTGGAACGGTCACGGAGGAGGATTGGATTTTGACCTTGCTATGCGACCTTCCGGAAGAGTGGTCGACGGTGATTACGACACTCGATAGCGTGCAAGATACTTGGACGAAGGAAATGGTGGTCGGTCGGCTTCTCCATGAAGAATCGCGTCGCCGACAATTCGCTAATGAGAGCGAGGGTTCCGGAGGGAGTTCCGGAAAGAAGTCCACGTGGAGCAAGGGTGCGACGAAGAAGTCATCCAGTGGAAGCGATCGCGGCAAGAGAAACACATCGAATGGCTCGAGCAAGTGCCACTATTGTGCCAAGGCGGGACACTTTGGCGTGAGTGTCGGAAGCGCCCGAGCGATTGGACTCCATCGAAGGCGCGGAACCACGAGGGCAACGCGCACACGACATCCGGCGATGCGGATGATTCAAGGGAGTCGATCGTATTATTGGCCGGTGACGGGACCAACGCACCAAGCGACACATGGTTCCTTGACACCGGCGCAACACAACACATGACGCACTTGGCATCGTTCCTCACCAACATTGGTGCACCGAGAGACGTAACGCGCGTCGTCTTCGGAAACAACAAGTCGCTACCGGTGGTCGGAGTTGGAAGTACGCGCCTCATCGTCGATGGCGGACCGGTGGACATCACGAACGTGCTTCACGTCCCGGGGTTGAAGGTGAATCTCCTCTCCGTCACTCAACTCGCGAAGAAGGGTGTGAAGGTCACTATCGACGATGCGAAGATGAACCTCTTTTGGAAGGGGAAGCAATTCGAGCAAGGTGTTCTCAATGGAGAACTCTACCAGCTCAAGACGCACCCGAGAGTGGCTTCATCCAACGTGGCGCAAGGCTCCAAGGCGACTCTCAAGGTGTGGCATAATCGGCTTGCGCACGCCAACTACGACTCGGTCAAGGAGTTGGCCAACAAAGGTCTTGCGAAGGGATTCGACGTGGCCGCCGGCGACGACGAGAAGGGCATATGCGCGGCGTGTGTCGAAGGAAAAATGGCTCGCAAGCTATTTGGTAGCCGTACCTCACCCCTCGCTAAGGACCCGCTTGCGCTTGTTCACATGGACGTGTGTGGACCGATGCGGCATACATCAAAGGGAGGAGCGCGGTTCCTCTTGGTGATGCTCGACGACGCGACGCGGATGTGTTGGACCCGGCTCTTGAAGGCTAAGGGAGATGTGACCAAGGCGATTCAAGAGTGGGCGCTTGAAGTTTGCGGCGACGACAAGAAGCGGATCAAGGCTATTCGCACCGACGGTGGCGGCGAATTCGTGAACGCGGAGCTTGAGAAATGGATGAAGAGCAAGGGCATTAAGCACGATGTCACAACACCCTACACACCCCAACACAATGGAGCAGCGGAGCGACTTAATCGCACGTTGGTGGAAGCCGTTCGTTCACTTCTTCAACACTCCAAGCTTGGGAACGAGTGGTGGGGAGAAGCGAGTGCGCTAGCGGCATGGATTCGTAATCGTGTGCCGACAAAGGTGCTACCGGGAACGACTCCATTCGAAGCATGGACCGGAACGAAACCGA